GCGATCTGTCTCCGCCGTTCCCCTCGCCATCGGCAGGAATTTTCGACACCCCCTCCGTCCTCGTTGACGTTAGAAGTTTCCTCCAGTGTGCATTCTTTCTCTCCCTCTCTCCTGCTTTTCCATTTTCGTCGTCTTTTTCTCAAACTGAGAATGATCTGGTTGTGGCGGCGAAGGAAGACGCTTACAGGACATTCCGGCCCTCGTGGAGAACGTTGATCAGAACTTTGCCAGAGTTAGGGATCTGCTGGCGTTCGGACGAGCACAGGGGCACTACTACTTCCACAAGGTATTCAAGGCCTATATGCATCTGTGGAAGTTTCAGCCAGCAGGAGAATCGGTCGAAGCTGGTCGAGTCTGGCCTTAACCGCTGGGAAATCGGCGAGATCGCGAGCCGATCCATTCTTGAGACGGCTCATCCTCAGGTAAGTTTACTTCCATCGATTCTCTATTCTACAACTTTAGACGTCTTTACGTGATTCTACGGCATCTTTCCAGATTCCAGATTCATCTTGCCGGTCCGTATTAGACGCTTTCTGCCGTTCGGAAGATCTTGAATCTAGCCTGCCCCTCTGCTTTCCCGGCCTCCCGGGCTCCGTCTCGTCGGGGTCTGAACCCGTGAAATCTGTTCTTCGCCGACTGGCCGGCCGACCACGTGGGAGTAACCGAATGTTTCAGATTCTGACAAGGACATAGTCTGACAAGGACATAGACTGGTAAAAACGCTGGAGCCTGTCTCTTCAATGGTTTTGTTATATGAAGGCAAAGCTCGGTGTTGGTTATACTTTTTATTTTATTTTTACAAAAAAGATTTATTTTGTAATAAAATATCTGTTTTTTTTAGATTTTTTTATATTTAATCTAAATCTCAAAAAAGAATTCGAAATGGATTTTTAGTTGAGTTTCTATTGGAATTATTGATTGGGGTTCCATTCCATTTGTTTTGTAGATAGTCGAAATCTCCACACCGTACGATTACAAAGCTAACCTTACATCCCAGCCGTCCATGAGTTGGTACAGTTCCCTTGTTCGTCTTCTCCATTTTTTTTTCTCTCCCCTGGATGAGCTCTCGATAGGGGGAAAAAAAAGGGCTGAAGAAAGAAATCGAGGTACGCTTTTGAAATTCTTTCGAGGATTCGTTTTTCGAATTTGGATGTCCAGCAATCGTGGATTGTCGATCACCGCATTATTAGGGTTCTTCCCCCTCTCTGCTGATGTGATTGAATTCAATTTTTTTTACCGTTTCGATTGACTTAGATATGTGTGTATTTGCTCTACGTCTGGTTGCTGTCTTTTGATTTCTCCACGCTCTTGATAATTTTTTTCCAGGCGGAGAAAAATTGAAGTCTTTAGGCTCCATCCTGGCTGGAATTGCTCATTCGCTTTTGGTTTTATCGTAGATGGTTTGTAGAAGGAGGCTCTTGAATCGAATGCCCTAATCTATGATGTTAACGTCGAGACCCCTTTTGTACCCTAATTTCCCCGTGCTTGTAACATCATCAAGCCCTAGCTTTGGCTGCAAAAGCTGGCATTTTCCGCGCTGCAAATCCCCCACGAGTTTCAGACTACACGCACAAAACGGCGGCAATGATCTGGGAAATGGTCTCGGTGGGAAAGACGAAGTACGAGGGGGAAACGAACCGATCAGTAACGGGAATGGCTCGAGGAAAGAGGGATGGCTAGGGTTCAATCTCCGGTGGGGCGATCTCTTGAATCCGGATCCGGACAATTTCGTGGCCATCGGACTAGCCGGAGTGCTGACATGGGCGAGCGTTCAGGTCCTGTCTCAGCTCCTCTTCATCTCTCTCGCCATTCTTGTTGCTGCTCTCAAGTACTCCTTCATTGCCGCCCTCCTCATTTTCATCCTCATCACCCTCCTCTAAGGCCTGCCATTCTATGCTCTATGGGTATTGTACATTTCCATTAACATGGTTATTCAAGATTTTTAGACTATTTGCATTCAAATCTGAAACTATTAGACTGTATGTTTCATTATCCCAGCTGGTACGTATGGGATCGGGTCAATGAATTCAAACTCGTGAGACCCTGTCAGTCAAGTTAGATATTCGAAATTCCGGATTCTTTTCCCAACCCTACTTGCTAAGGAGGGGCATTATCAAAAATGCCTTTAAAATGCTACATGTACTTCATGGAGTACCCTCCTTTCAGAAAAAAAAATAACTCCTTCACATGTACCCTCCCCATATGTACAATTTCTATTACACCCTTATATTATAAAACAAATAAAATTAAAAATAAATCTAAAAAACAATAATTTTCCTCCTAAAAAGTAGTGTCGATTTCTCTCTCCTCAGTATCACTTTTCATTCTCTCTCCTCCGGCATTTGCATTCTCTCTCTCCTCCGTCTGCTCTCTCCCTCCGTTTGCTCTCTCTCTTCCAATTTGAACCCTATCTCCGCCGCCGCCGATTTGCTCTCTCTCCCCATCGATTTGCTCACTCTCTCTTCCGA